GCAGGAACGAAGAGAGGAGGAGAGGGGGCGGGAGGCGGGAAGGAAGGAAGGAAGGTGGAGACCGCAGTGCTCCATTCAAAACGAGTACCCAACGCAGGAGGGTTGGGGGGGAAAAAAAACAACATACCGCCACGGCGAATTCTTGAGGGCGGGGTCCACATGAGGCCCCCGCGGAGAAACTTCTTTTTTGCGGGGCCCGTGCCTCCGACTCCAGGCGAAGCACATGGCACTGCCAGTCTTCCAGCTGAGCTGTTTCAAAACAGGCCCAGAAAGAAGCGACTCGAGCGGGGCCGGATCCGCCTGCTCGGAAGGCCGCGAGACAAGGCCCCGCTGGAAGGATGTCACCGCGCCCCCATCTGACGAGTAGAGGGCGGAGCTGTCAAGAAGCGCCGACAGGGCCCCCTTTGGAATACTGCTCAGAAGGGTCCACAGGCGGGGCCCCGACTGCGCGGCCAGTTGCAATGACAATATCCACAGCTGCACGCTGCCAGGCATTCGAGAGTTCACTGCCGTGAGAGGTACATCCGCAGGTCTTGTTGAGAGCGGCGATGGCATCACGAGCGAGGCGCTTGTCATGTTCACCGCGGAACACCCGACGACGAACGGCTCGCGACACAGAGGTGGAAACGGGCAGGGCAGCAAGGACTTCAGGGATAGGAAGAGGAAAGATGAGACGACGGCGCCAATCAGGAACGCCCCGACGATGCTTGTTGCCGCCGACCTCCAGGAGGCCGGGTGGACCCAGCAGCCCTTCAAGGCCATCTTGGGTGGAGGCCAGGCCCCGCGCCCCCACCTGGCGTGCACTCACCCCTTGCCCCTTTTGCCTTTCTTGCCCTTCCTGTCCTTGCCCCTGTCGTTGCTGCCGGGCGCGCCTGCTGCCAGCTGCCTATCCTCGCGAGCCTTCATGAGCTCCTTCTGCACCGCCACCTCGCACGCCAGCTCGGCCGACACGTACTGCCGCGACGCGGGGGCCCCCCAGACGTCTCCCCGCGCCTCAGCCGCCCCCATCATGAGATCGCGAGTGCTGTTCTCCAGCTCGGTCGAGCTGCTGCGAGCACGGCACTGCTACTCCTGCAACTGGAGCGCCCTCGAGATGAGCTCCCCGCTCGCCCAGTCACAGGCGTTCAGCTGGTCGCGCGAGATCATTGTCTCCGAGGGCGGCTGCACAGCAGGTGGACTCCGACTCCAGCATCATCTGGATCGAGCCCCATCTCGGATCGCCAGCGCGAGTGGCGCGCCAGCGGGAAGCCGCCGCGACGCTGGATGTGCTGGAGCAGCCAGTGCGTAGTCCGCGGCCCCTGGGCGGGGAAGTCAGCCAACGCGTACTCAGACTGCGTCAGCACGCCCTCGCAGAAGTCCTGGACCAGCTGCCCTCGTCCGTGGCGCGTGGCCGCCAACACGTGCAGGCCGGGCGCGTTGAGGGCGGCTGGCCCCACACCGACCACGGCCGACGCAGCCGGCACGGCAGCGGCCGCCGCCCCGGCGGAGGCGGGGGCCGCGCCCACGGCGGGCGCACCCGAGGGCGGCGCCGCGGCGGGAGCTGCCAGGAGCCCCCGCGGCCGCTGGCGAGCCAACTGCAGCCGCAGCCCTCGCGCTGGCGGCGGGGCTGCCAGGGGCCCCGATGAGACCAGTGACGCCTCCACTTGCCGCGCCGGCGGCAGCGGGAGCCGCCGCGGCCGGCGCCGCGACTAGCGCACCGGCAGCTGCTGGAGCCGGCGCGGCAGCGCCTGCTGGGTTGGCCGGCGCGCGCTGCCCGGCGGCCACCCCGGGGGTGATGCTTACCGCCAAGTCCAGCATCAGCGGACCCCGTGGCGGGGGAGGATAACCCGTTGTCACCGCTCGCCCCACGGCGCCCCAGGCTTCCGCGGCCGTCGGGAGGCGCCTGGAGCGGTACGCGCGCCCGCCCGCGAGGCCGGCAGGGTAGCCTCCTTGCCCGGCCAGGCGGACCACCACCGCCACGTCGGGCCACGGCGCGCTCGGCTCGTCGTAGTCGTCCGGGCAGACCAAGCCCGCACCCTTCGCCTCCAGCGCCGCGGACAGGCACTCGGACGGGGGCACGGGAGTGGCCTCGTCCGCGTCCTCACCCAGGAACGCCCCGCGGGCGCCCGCCGAGCACGGCTCCGCTTGCGGCGGAGGCTGATGCGCAGGGGGCGGCGCCCACCACCAGCAGGCCAGACCTATGCCGCCCAGGTGGCAAAAGAGGTGAAGACTGAGCCCTGATCGCCTGGGCTCGGGCAAACCGCCCTCCTGAAAGACTTGAGCGTGGCAGTTGCGGCTGGATCAAGGACGGGTTATGCCGAAACATGCGAAATGTGATATATCTGTATATATACACATAAACATATATGTATATATAGATACATATACATATACATATACATATACATATACATATACATATACATATACATATACATGTACATATATATATATATGTACATATACATGTACATATACATGGACATATACATATACCTACACATATACATATACATATACCTATACATATACACACACATATACATATACATATACATATACATATACATATACATATATATATACATATACATATACATATACCTATACATATACATATACATATACCTACCTACCTACCTACCGACCGACCTACCTACATACCTACCTACCTGCATACCTACCTACCTACCTACCTACCTGCCTACCTACCTACATACATACATACATACATACATACATACATACATGCATGCATGCATGCATGCATACATACATACATACACACATACATACATATATACATACATACATACATACATACATACATACATACATACATACATACATACGTATATATGCGTATATACGAGAACCGCGCGGGTTTCGCGTGCGCTTAGGTTCTAGCAAGTTCTGGTTGTAGTCTGAAGTGCTCGGCTTCAGGGGACACATAGTGTCACACGGATCGTGCAGCTCAGGGAGCTCCACCGACGGCCCCAGATACAGGCTTGCCTTAACAGTCCACCTGCCAATGCTGGTACACCCCTCAAACGGACCGCGCCCAACAGGGACCTCCACCTATGTCCCCAGAGACAAGGTTCGCATAGTGACACGCCCCTCACGCGGGTCGAGCCCAGCAAGTAACTACATTTGCGGCACCAGAGGGGAGCGTCATAGCGTCGTCTGCCTTACGTCGGCACACCTCTCGCACGGATCGTGGCCCGCAAGGACTTCCACGGACGGTCCCAGAGGCACGGTTCGCATGCCGAACCCCGCCTACTTCGGCACGCCTCTCGCACGGGTCGTGGCCCACAAGGATTTCCACCCATGCCCCCAGAGGCAGGGTTCGCACTACGCCCCCCCGCCCATTGCAGCACACCCCACCACGCAGATCGCACACCGAAGAAGCACCACCTAAAGGCCCAAAAATAAGGTTCGTCAGCACACCCGTCACGCGAATCATGGCCCGGATGGCGCTCCACACATGGCACTAATCGGCAGCTTCGCATGGCGTCCCCCCCCCGCCCATTTCGGAGCATGCCTCGCACGGGTCGTGGACAGAGGAGGTCGACCTGCGGCCACAGTGGGCGTGCTCGCTCGGGGGCATCCGAATCATTCGGCACACCCTCCACGCGGACTGTGCCCCACAAAGAGTGCAGCGAACCCGTGCACGCGTGCTCCGCAGCAGCCCCATTTCCGCAATGTCACGCGGCGCGCAATGTATGAAGAGAGACCCGCGCCCCGCGCTACACATGGCTGCACAGGGATGGATCCGTCGCCAAGCCAATTGCTGGCTTATCTACAGCCTTCGGCCCGTTTCGCTAGAGGAGTCTCGGATCTCTGTCTGCTGGCATGCTTCTCGGGCGCTTCGCGGAGCGACTGTTTAAGCTTCTCGGGGCCTTTGGGGGGCCTCTTGGGGCCTCTGTGTGAGCCCTTTGGGGCCTCTTGGGGGTCTGCCACTTGGAGCGGAGGGCTCGAAATGTCAGTTTGAGCTCCTCCTCGTGGATCCCTGTTGGGGCCCGCTTGTTTTGTTGCTATTTTACTAGTCGCGTCTGCAACGTTCAGTCTCCGAGCGCCCAGCCTGAAGAGAAGTCAGAAGCTTGCGACTGCGAGGCTGGCTCTAAAAACGTAAGGCACGAAGGGTCAAGCCATGTTGGTTACGAAATGATCTCCTGCGGAGTGTGGGGACAGAGTGCCAGAATCTCAAACAAAGCCTCGGATATCGAAGGCTCGGCCCGAATTGGACGTGGCGGGAACGTCCACCTTAAGAAGTGTGGGCGCTAGAAATGTGGGCGGTACAGCGCTTCCAAAGAAACCTAGACGAACCAGGAGGATAAAGATAGACGACCCCAGCCCACGACAGACTCCCGTGTTCCCGCGGCCAGAGACCAAACTTGAAGAGACTCCACAAGGTTCGGCTCTTGAGCCGTGTCGTCCGATTCGCTTAAGCCTCAAGCCTTGGCAGTGTCAGAATGCTGGCAAGGGGAGGAGGGATAAATGGTGAGGGCGCCTGGTCCATGTGGGCCTGGCGAACAGACACTAGAAGCTCACACTGGTCCCTGGCAGGGTTTGTTGCCCAGCGAAGGAGAGGGGCGGAGGGGAGAAGAAGCAGAAGAGAAGGAGCAGGAAGAGGAGGCGGAGGAGGAGCAGCGGCGATTCGTTGCCCTCCGCCGCGCGCACGAGTCGTGCCCGCAAGTGCTAGGGCGCGGCTCCATTGCTCGAGCGTTCTAGGGGCACAGGCAGGTGCCCTCAGGGCACGGTGCACAAGATCAGACGACCAAGACTGCAGCTTCAAGTATGGGGGCAAAGTGAAGTCGCCGCGCTGCGTCTCGGCACCAAAAAGGCACGCGCCGAGCTTCCCGGCTGGAGCCGCCGCACGGGGCGGGCGCAGATCTGCCGCGGCCCGTGGGTGTAGCTGGGGGTCACCCTGCGAGAGGACGCGTGCCAGAACGCACTCGTTCTCCTCTGACTACCTTGATTCTCTCCCCCCACCCTCCAGATTGGTTGATTCGCCTCTACCCCACCCCACAAGTCTTACTTTCAAGCGTTTGAGCTGTCCTTGAGCCCCTTCTGTTTCGCAACACCATCGCATCTTGCCAAAGTCAGAGGAAGGTCAGAAAAAGGAATTCAATACTTGGGGGCGGCGCGGGTGGTGGGACATCGTGGCCGCCACCGAACGCGGGGCCAGCGACAGAACCTAGCGCAGAATTGGCCGTCAAATGTCAGCCTTGCGTCTGGTTTCCGCGCGCGCACCATAAAGCCAGATGGCATCAGCAAGATCGCCAAGCTGTAGGTGAACGTTCACATGATGTAGCCGAAGATGTCGAACACATGGATAGGAACCCTCCATGACAGCAGCACCAGGAAGTAGGCGAGTGTCACGGTCAGAATGATCAGGACACACATACGTGCGCAGGCCCTTCCAGGCTTGCACCACATTGCGAAGGACCTCATGACCACATTGAAGATGAGCGGGTTGAACAAGAACCCCTTGGACATCTGCTCAAGCAGTAGCCTCCAGCCCAAGGCGCCTTGGCCTGCTCTGAAATGACATGCGACCCTGCCGACCATGTCCCCAAAAATGGGTAAAATGGGTGACCCGAGGCAGAGTACGAGGTAACGGTACGAAATTTGGGCATGCCTGACCGTGTGACTCCGCAGCTTCTTTCTGACGAATCTGTCGAACCTGCCCACGTCGCCAAACCAGTCGATCACGGTGTCTCTGATCAGTTCCCTGTCGCATCGCATGGCATTCTGTGTCTCGGGGTGCTTGTGACCGTTGCTGCAGCAGAAGCACCCCGCGTGCTGAAGGGAGAAGGTCACCAGCTGTTCCTCCTGCTCGGCGAAGGTGCAGACATGCCGTGCCAAGAAGGACGACAGCGGTGTGGCAATAATACAGAAGGTCATCGAGAAGGAAGCCACCCGCATTAAGATCTCATGAGGCGATAGCGCACCGAACATCGACTGGAGATCGTCAACGCCTTTCAGGAGGCAACGGGTGGCAACATTGAAGATCGTCTGGCCGATCAACAAAACTGCGAGCATGCCTCCGTAAATGGAAGGCAGCACATGCAGCGCGTTATCTAAGGCCTGCTTCCGATCCGAGTGCACAGTCAGGAAAGCCGCAAGCTCGAAGAGACACCAAAGCCGCTGGAAATTCGATTTGTCACAAACAACAAGCACTCCGCGACATCCTCAGGTAGTAGGCGAGGCTCAAAATGCCGTTCCGTTTCGCCGTCTCGTCGCCCTGGGAAATGCACGCCCTATCCAAGAACACGCGCTGCCGACTCGGCCACGCAAACATCACCACCAGAGACACACACAGCCTGGCTGCCATGCACGGAAGGCCTGCGCGATAGCCATTCACTGACACCTGTGCTGAAGACACCTCTGTCGGCAACAGCAAGGCCGTGGCCGTGGACGCGGCAGCTCCCGCCAAGAAGGCCAACCAAGCGTGATAATAAATCAAGAGAGCGATGAAGTTCATAATCGGCGAAGCGTGCCGGCTGTACGACCAGAACTGGTCGTACCGGTCGAGCTCCCCGGAGTGTCTGTACTTGTCTCCGTAGCTGCGGAAGACATTGCGACGTTCATCCCGACGTTTGCAGGGATCGCGCGCAAACTGGCGGTGGAGCCGGCGACCGGCTGTACCGAGAGCGTCCGCGGCAAGACGTGGCCCTCGGCCCCGCCGCCCGGGACCTCGCAGCGCCCGACCGTGACGGGCCCCGGCGCGCCGGGCCGGTTTAGTGCTCCTGTCTCGCAGGACGTCGGGCTGGGCGCCAACGCCCGGGGGCGACAAGTCAGCCCCTCGGGGGGCCAGCCTCGGCATCTCAAAAGCACTCAATGGCTCAAGGCCCGGAGGCTACCTGGAGCCAACCGTCTTTGACCGTTGTGTGGCGTTTTCGGAAGCCTCTTGGGCCGTTTTGAACCAACATAGCTACGGAGTCTCTATTGGGCCGTCTTGGGCGCCTCTTGGACCGTCTCGGGGCTGTCTTGGGCCGTCCTGGGACCCCTTTGCCTCTTGGGCCGTCTGGGGGTGATCTCTGGGGCCTCCAAACCGTCCGGACGCCTGTTCAGACCCCAAAATGCGAATATGCTATTGAAAAATGCGTGTTCGCCGCAAGGGTGGGACAACTTGTGCCTCCTGGGGTTCTCTCGGGGCGCACGAGCCTTGTTAGGACGTTTTCGGAATCTTTCGAACTGTCATGAAGCAATATTCGGTCATTTTCGGCCCTGTCAGACCGTTCTGGTCGTTTTGTCGGCGGCCTCCGGAGCTGTTCTGAACGGCAGGGGGGGGGGGGGGCCCGGGAGGCCCTGGAAGGGGCCCAAATGTTGTAGGCCAGAAGGAATGGGGAGGAGAGGGGGGGAGGGAATTCCGGGAGGGCGTTTTGGAACTAGCCCAAGGCCACGGGTACCCTGGCAAAGTATATACAATCAAGCGCGCGCGCGCGCGCGCTTCGCGCACGCTTAGGTTCTAGTCGGTCAAGCAATCGGGCCAGCGGGTGCTGGCCGTTGTGAAGTCCTCTTGAGGCTGTCTCGCAGCCTCTTGCGGCCGCGTTAAGTCCCCATGGGCATTCCTACGCTGTTGTCGAGCCCTCTTGGGGCATCTCTGGGCGCTAGTGGGCCGTCTTGGAACAATCCTGGCCCTTCTTGGGCTACAGTGGCGGCTATATTGCGGTTGCCCTGGGCCCGCTTGGGACCCTCTTCGGGCGCTACAATATCGGGAGGGGGTGCTCTTCGGGAGCCTGCGATCGGTCGAAAAAATCTTCGCCTAAACAATAATTCCTGCACGTAGCCGACGCGCGACGAAAGGGCCCGACGGGGACGGAAGAAAGCGAATAACGCACCCAAGAACCACAGACAACGAGCGGAGGGATACGACCGACAGAACAGGGGCCACGAAACAGCGAGGGCCCGAAACTACACATAGCGTTGCCGGGAAAGCCTGAGGGGATTTGATTGCCCCAGTCCTGGCTCCTCGAGCATCCACGAGCCCAAATTCAAACCCTCCTCCCAGGCGGCAGCAAAACTCTTCCTCTCGTTGCGAGCCTGGGCGGGGAAGAAAGGCACATCAAGCTGCGCGAGGTTCCCCAGCACAAACGGCACAAGCGTTTGCTTCCATTGCGCCTCAATGCTTGGGACGCCTCGCGGCCAGACAGTCTCCAGGACGGGAAAAGTTAAAGATGTCGCCCCATGAGAGAGCGGCAAAGGAACAACCAAGCCCGCAGAACAAAGCTGGTTTAGCCTCCTCTTCCTTGGCGAGCCTGGGCAGCGCACAAGATACATGAACAATGACAAGGAGCTCACATGCGCAAGCGGCATGGGTGGTTGCTCCCATTGCGCCACAATGCCTATGAAATCCTTGCGGCCAGGCAGCCTCCATGGGCTGCAGAGTGCGACTGAACGCGGTGGCCCCCAGCCCGCAGCAAGGAGGGACGCAGGTTGCCTCTCCATCGCGTGGCGAACCCCGGCAACGGAAATTACAACACAACATCAACAACATTGGCAGAACATGCAATGGCGTCGGGTTTGGCGTCGGGCACCCAGGAGACATCCGCATCGCGGTAGATAAGCACACAAGATACCCCACCCCTCCTTGCCATGACCCCGAATTAGTTATCAGGCTGCAACAGCGGCTGCAGCGGCCATTCTGGGTCGAAAAGGGCCTGGAAGTTAAAACATGGCGGGGGTTGGGGAAAGCATAAATTCGCCGGCCCAGCGGGCCAGAGGCGTGCTAAGATCTCCGGTAACTACTTAACAATATTTTTAGTTCGCGCGCGCGGGGGGGGCCCGGACGAAAAGTACCCCGGCCGATCCCCGGCTGACCCCCGGGCGATCCCCAGGGGGGAGGCTATTTTTCGCCACCCCTCACGAAGATCGTGGCCTCCGAGGGGGGTGCTGCCAACGACTACCCCCCCTCCCGCCCCAAGTGGCCCCCAAGAGGCCCCAGGGGAGGCACGCCGCCAAGGAGCCCCAAGACGCCCCCAAGAAAACCCCAAGATCAAGAAGCCCCCAAGACGGCCCCAAGAGGCCCAAAATAGCGTTCCAGGGCCGGCGGAATGAGCGAAGCGATAAAATAACACCGGCGCAATCAACTGCACACACACACACACACACACACATCTCCGATTGGGCACTCAGTGCGAGGATCGCGTCCATCACGCACGAGCCCCAGGCGAGACAGTGTGCTCTTGGCCCCAGGGGGGGCCCAGTACAATTCCTACTTAAGTCCTTGGCATTGCTTCTAGAGTAGCGCCCACAGCGGCGGCGGAAAATAATGTCCTGCAGACTCCAGACAGCGCCCCCCCCCCCCGCAGGTGAGGGGCATTTGGGACGCAAGAGGGTGCTCTTGGAAATCGAACTAGCCCAGGAATTCACACATCTAAGACGCCCTATGGAAGAGCCCCAGACATGCTCATGCATAGCTCCAGCAACAGATACCGACTAAAGAAGCGAGGGGAAGGCTGGTGCCTGGGTCTCATCAGAACCGGCAGTTCAAACTCTCTTGGGAACACTCATGGGAATCCATGCAATGCCGTACCCTACGTAACATCCTCGATGTCTGGCAAGGGTATCACAACGTTGGATACGGTCCTGCTGCACAGTGTCATGGACATGTAAATATATGACTAGCTTGGCCAATCGATCTGCCAGTCGATTCCCAGCATTATGCATATCGCCACGATCGCCCTTGCGTATTTTGGTGGCTCGAATTGACTGACCCCTATCAGTCGCTAGTCGGTGGGCTCGGGCCCATAGGGAGCAGTGTTTGGCCCAACCATGGGTGGAGGCTTCATAGCCGAGGGCCCAAACATCAACCACATGTTGGCAGTCAGCAACAAAATCAGACTGGGCAGACGGGGCAGCATGGGCGAGGTAGAACCAGAGAGCATGAAGCACGGCCACTGGAACGTCCTGAACAAAGCAACACAGGACACCACATGGTTCAACCTAGGAGAGCTACGTGCAACAGGCCAACCAAAGACGTTTCGGCGCTTCGGAGCAGAAGAGCAAACGCCCAATGCACATCGGAGCGCGAGAAGCGAGGGCCCAAACGTGCCCGAGCCGTTCCCGTACGCGGGCGACGAGAAAAGAGGGTCATCAGTGGCGCGCCCCGAGACAGGGCCAGGGAACGGCGGCGAAACAGAAAAACTATAACGCGGGTCGGGGACGAGTGCCGTGGCCCAGACAGGGTCATGTCGGCGCTGACCGAGACAACGCGCGAGGGCCTGCGTCGGACCGTACCGACGACGGAAGTCGCTGAGAGCATCATATGCAGAAAAAGCGTAAAAAAATGATTCGCTGGGATCAGATGGCGCACGGGGCAATTAGGTTTGAAATAGATACCCCCAGCCAGGAAGGTCCCAAGGGTTCGCCGTTGCACCGCACCCCATCTTTGGGTTTTCGTAGACAGAAGGCAGCGGAGGGGGGGCAGGAAAGGTGGGCCCGACAAATGACCGAAGGATGGATGACGCTCACAGGCTTGCTTCCATGCCCATGCGCAGGCATCGCGGGCCACTAGGGAAATCGGGCCGCGCGGCGCAGTAGTCGCAATGAACAGATCCACCCCCGGAGAATTATGCCATTGGGTGGGGTAACAACTGACCACCCAATCCTGAGTAAGGTGGCAACCAATATCTGACCTGGCCCTTGTCGGTCTGCCCAAGGGGTGCCAAATAAAACGTCATCGCGAACCCGAGAGAGAATTGCATCAATGATGCCCTCGGGCAGTGCACGGTTCCAACGGAGACAGCCCACAGACGCACTACTTCTGCATGGGCATCCAAAGCTGGGTCAGTAACACCCTGTAGAGCGAGGTCCATAGTCACAAATCTGCGCCCACCTGTGCCTTGCCCTGCATGGTATATGGCCCTGATCAGCTGGATCTGGAAAGCGCCGGGACCAACCGCATCGGCACCGTTGGTAATGGCGGGACGAAGGTTCGCATTAACAACGCCAGCCACCCTAGCATCTCCGTTCTTAAGACGCAATAGACGACGGGCCTTGGCCATAGCTGCATTTTAGCCTGGCACGCAAAACTGGGCTACCCCGACGCCCTTGGGCAGCTGGAAATCAATGCCGCGGCTTCGACATGAGAATTTGACGGCGCCAGAAGGACGTGGTGTCCCAGCTGCAATATCGGCCAGGGGTAATCGGGCAGAGAAAGTGAGCCCGTGCATAAAAAGATGGGAGGGCCCCGCGGCTAGCTTCAAGAGGCCCCTCTGATTTCCAATAGGACCTGAACGCCATCTGCCACCAGCCCCACATGAAGGTTCGGATAGACTGCTGAGACAGAAACAAACTCGGGGGCCAGCATAATGCGCATGAACAAGTCTGCAAACGGAAAACCAGCAACAATCGCGATGCCAGCAGAAATCCAAGTACCGACGATTCGGCACAAGTATACAACCTTAAGCGATCTGTAGAGAGACAAGGCCACACGCAACAACGCAGGATTGGAATCGAACTGAACTGCTCGCGTGATGAGAAGCTTGTGCCAAACCTGCTCATACGCCTCCGTAATGTCCAACAAGAGGAAGAATACAGACATGCCACGTGCGACAGCACACTCAGCGACCACTCCCATGCGCCACACGCACCGCTGACAAGAGTGCGCGCGCACACCGTGTATGCATGGACGCGGGCGTTGTCGCGCCCAGCTCACGCCGCACGCGCGACGAAAGAACCTACTGAACGTACGCACACATGTAGTGAAAAGTGCGACAGTGCGTTCACCACATCAGGGGTCGGTGGTAAGCTCAGCATGAAAGCCGCCAAGATAGGAGGACCCCCCCCCCTAATCGCAGGACAGTTCTCCATATGCCAAACAGAGCAAGTAGAGGAAGATCAGAGAGTTGGGCATGATGGTGGGGATGCATACCGCCCAGTCCAACAGCCGCACGTGCTCTGTACTTCCGACACGTCTGCCTATAGCGCACCAGGGACGGTTGCGGCAATGATGCAATGTCTGTTGGGCGAACAGGAGGCACAGGCAAACCATGGCAAGGATCAGTAGAGGTGTTAGGAGTTCCCATAGACCATGCCAAAACTCTTCGCGTGCTTTCAAATGGTGTTCAGGAGTACCGATGGGGACATCGGGGATTGTGTAGCTGTGGTCTGAGAAGCCGCCCAATCGGCCGAACCCCTCACGAAGTTGCGCGCAGCAGATTCCCCGCGCGGCACCGACTTCATGGCCCAGGAAGTACAGGACTGATAGCCCTCAGCTGAAGCTTCGCGCCCCAAGGCCGATGCCATCTCAGCCAGAGCGTTCCGAAGCCAATCAACAGAGCCAAGGTACAGGGAACCGAGCCGATCTGCATAGTGGCGCCACCATGGCCAAGCAGGAGGGAGACCCCCTGCACGCGATGAGAGGCGATACTTGCGCAAATCGTTAGCTGCACGAGTGAAAGCCCGCCACGACTGCCCCCCTGCCAGATGCAAGAGGGCACCAAGACGATTCGAGAGATACCTCCAAAGTTCCCCTTCGTAAGAGGTAGCAACTCCACCAGGGAGGAGGCGAGAGACGGATACATGAACTGAGGTAAGGGTTTCACCGCACTTATCATAGGCCTGCGGGTCGGGTAGCTGGTAGAGCCTAATCAACTCCTCGGCCGACGTTTTTAGCCAAACAGAAGTGAGACACCCAAGCTCAGATACTGCGGCTACTTGGCCAGGATCAGGAAAAGCGCCCCAAGGCGGGGGACAATTGGACGATCATCTGCGCGACCCTGTAGGAAAGGCTCTCGCTCGAGGCTTTCTCGATGTATTCACAGACGAAGTTCCCGCTGGAGTCATCCTCGCTATTTCCCAGGCGTGGGCATCACTCAATTCCTCCTCACAATTCCAACGAACGGGTGTCAAAACAACTGTGCTTCTAAATGTCGTGCAATGGCCACATCTGGTATGCAAAATGGGGGGGGCTACAGGGGGCTCCTCGGCGAGGCGCAATTGCAGGAACGCGTCCTGAGGCAAGCAAACTTCCAGGGACCGACGAACGAAAAACGAAAACCCCATCCATCGGAATGAGTGCACAAAACAGACGAAAAAACATCAATCGAAAACGCCGTGTGAACGCAACGAGAACGTCCGAAAACGCAACCGATCGATCGATCAATCGAAACACGCGGGGCCCCCAATCGAGTAGTGGACCAATCTGGACCAGCGCAAACCCAGTCTGGCCAGTTTGGAAAAACTGCGCCTGCGCTGCAATGTATCGCGGGGGGTCCCAACACCAGCTCAACCACTGTGCAGGGCCACATCCCCAGACATGCGACGTCCTGATGCGTTCAATACGGGATCCCTGGAATACTCTACCCTTGCCTCGAAATCCTAAGACGTTTTGTTACGGTCTGGGCGCCCAGTAAAAGGCCCCCAAAGGCCGAAAACGGCGCTCGAACTGAACCCCGCTTTCGGCGACCTTCTGAGAAACCCAGGTCAGTCAAGCCTTGCAGAATCCTGCAAGATCCTGCAAGATCCTGCACCCAAGCCCTGGTCAACGCGAAGGATCCTGCAAGATCCTGCAGGATCCTGCACCCAGACCCCGGCCAGTGCAGCCCTGGCCCTGCAAGGTCCAGCACTCTGGCTGACCCCCGGTTGCATCGAACCCCGTCTCTTGAGCCCCGACGCTTGCGCTAAACGGCCTGGCCCAGAGTCGAGGCGGGGGCGGCGTCCTCCTGCGGCACGGCCGGCTGCATAAACTGGTGCGGCGAGGCTGCCCGGGCGGCCCCAGGGTCCTCTGGCGCGGGGGGCCGTAGGGGTGGGGAAGGGGCACCGGGACAGGCGAGGGAGGAGGGGCGAAGGCAAAGGGAGGGAGAAAGAGAGATAGAGAGAGAATAGGAGTGAGGGCGATGGACGGAGAATGAAGGCAAGAGAGAAAGAGAAACAAAAAAGAGAGAGAGAGAGAGAAGGAGAGAGAGAGAGAGGAAGAGGGAGACAGGGAGGAGAAGGGAGAACAAGGGAGGGAGGCAGAGAGGGAGAGGGAGAGAGAGAGAGAGCCCCCCCCCCAAAAAAGTGGTGATGAACGGGGAATGAAAAAGAGAGGCAAGGCGTGAGAGAGAGAGAGAGAGTCAAAAACAAAGCAAAAAAAGAGAGAGGGAGAGAGAGAGGGGAGAGGGAGGCAGGGAGGAGAAGGGAGGAAAAGGGAGGGAGGCAGAGAGGGAGAAGGAGAGAGAGAGAGAGAAAGAGGGGAAAACATAATAAGAAACAAAAAAACTATGACGACATGATGGCGATGAGACGCCTATATAAACGGACATCCAAAGTGCCACGAGGCCTGAGAAAACAGGCAGCCACCCGAGCAGTGAAGGACAGAGTGCGACACGCCGAATGCGCGACGAGAAGACATGAAACCGAAAAGCAAAGAGAAACCCAGAAAGGGGGAGAACAAACCCAAACGAAGATCCACCACCGTGCCTCTGGCACGATATGGAATACCCAAGGCCCAAATTTGTGCGGCTGCAGCCAAAATGCTGCAAATTCTTAGGAGCCTGGCCCCCAGAATCCCACCAGCCCTCTGGGCGTCAGTGGTTTAGGGCGTTTCCTCTTCCACCCCTTTTCTTCCCCTTCGGGGAGGGGTGCACCCCTCCCCCTACCCCCTCCCCTGGACCTGGACGGGGGGTTCCGCGAGTCGTCGGAGCGTCCACAACGGCCTCGGCGAGGAAGCCAAAATCATTGGTTTTATTCGGGTTTGGGCCCCATTTTGGCCTCCTGGGGGGGGACGCAAATTAGACACCCCCCCTCCTGTGATCGATTTCGCCCAAGATGGCCCCAAGAGGCCCCCAGGATGCCCCCACGAGGCTCTCAAGAGACCCCCAGGAGGCCCCAAGAGACCCCCCAGAGGCACCCAAGATGCTCCAAGAGGCCTCGGCGAGAATGCCAAACCATTGATTCTACGAAGGTTGTTACCACATGTTGGCCTCTTGGGGGGTATTGATTAAGATGACTCCAATTGCGCCTGGGGGAGCCTGAAATGACCTCCAAGATGGCTCAAGATATCCCAAAATGTCTCATCATGGCTTCCTGTGTGCTGCCCACGTCCCTGATCGAGGCAATTCCTCTGGGCATCGTTTCTGGATGGGCTGGTGGGGATTCGCGATGCGTCAACCTTTCCGATCCGTGTAAAGGTCTTCTGCGGTCTTCCGGGGGTTCTCATGCGAGTTCTCAGGTGTTTCAAGCCGACCTTCTAGACGCCGTGCCCGCCCAAAACAGCCGCCCGAACCCTCCCATGTGTCTACAGGGCTTACAGATGGCCCAGGGGGCATCCAGGACGCCCCAAGAGGCCTCCAAGAACACTCCGCACATGGCCCCAATAGGCAACATCCATTGACTCTTCTCACGGCAAGGCAGCGATGAACCGAACACCACAACAGTCCAGGCGTGAGACTGGCAGCCGACAATCGCCCACAGCGACCAGCAGCGGCGCGGCCACGCAACGCGAAAAAAGGAGGCGGAGGAGGAGGAGGAGGAGGCGAAGGGGAAGCACACGACCTCCAAATCGGCCAGCCCGCAAGGAAGTTCCAAGGGCGTGGTCGGAACGTCACCGTAGGGGTTGCGCACTGCTCCGGCTGCCAACTTCTGTGCCGCAGCACCTAGTATGCCCCACCAGCGGTGCAAGAGTCCCAGGGCCATCCCACGCCAGACCCGTGGGCGGACCCTTTTCGCACAATCTCGCGCCAATTCTGGTGCAAACTCTAAGGCTTGTTTCCCCAGCGACAGTAAATTCCTACGGCTAGACACTGCAGCGACCCTAACCCACTACTGACGACGTCGTGGTAGGTTGCATTGTTTTCTACTTCTGCCCTGTCTAGAAACCTACCCCCGCATTGCTCGTGCTTCCCTGGGCTGCCGAATTCCAGAAGTAGGTGACATGATGCATCGCAAACTAAGGGAAGCCCACGGTCTACCCCCAGACACGGCACAACCAAATCCACCCGTCGCGTATTTGTCGGTGTTCCTGGGGTGTTCGTGCGATTAAACATTCGCTCCAAGTTGCGTTCCGGCACAATCCCTCCCGCTTCGGTAAATACTTGCCTCCATCCAGCCACAACATCCGCAAGCCGCGATTGTGGACCCCCCCCAACACGTGAAGTTAAACATGCAAAACCGTGTGGGTCTGGCCCTCCCCATACGGCAGCAATTCCCAACCGCTGTCTCACTGCGCACAATACGCCTTTTGTTGGCGAATGTCATAATATCAACAGTAGAGCAAATCAGTAGACGGCTGAGCTAAACTGCGGTGCGCTTGTCTGTGCGGGTGCGTTCGATGCCACGAACGGCCAATCATGCCGCCACTGACCTACAAGCGTTTCGGTTGGTGATGGTCCGGGCGGCCGCTCACCCGCTGCCACGTTGGCCAAAGTTGGCTGGTCGCCCCATCTTCCCGCTGCCACCAAACACTTCCCGCTGCCACCAAACAGTGCGCCCTGGCCACGCGCCCTCAGCGCCTCTAGCCGGCACAGAGAACATTTCGCCCTATGGACAGGAAAATGCGCAGCAAGGTCGGGAGTGCGTCCGCCCAGCTCGCCCAAAATACTCCTTTGGCCGTTGCGATGGAGTCTCGAAGGGCCCTCCTCTTCAAGGTAGCCTGGCTTGGGTCACCCAATCATTGTGCGCCGCACCATGTAGCTGGTGGCCCCAGGAGGCGTGAGCCGGTATACAAAATATCTAGGGGAATGCATCTTGTATAACCACATCGTGTTCGATGCATAATGTTTGCCCCTGGTCTGGTGGGAGCGCTCGTAAGAGGTGGTAAAGCCTAGGTGCAGCACAGAAACATACAAGTAGCCATGATACTTGAACAGAGGAGAGCTGGGGTAGGTATTGCAATAGCTGCGCCTTCTTTGTAGCCACATTGGCCCCACATGTTCTGATGAATTCGTTGCTGCCGAATGGTGCTCCCAAGACTGTCACTCCTCGTTCCGCCAACGGCGCATCCGCCTTCCAAGCGGGTCGGCCACCCGTAGGTCGTCAATACACTCGGTCGGGGTAGAGCCCCAAACTCGTAATTTACCCATGTGAATATCAATCTGGCATGTGTCGCCAAATGCGCATGTGTGCAAAATGAACGCGGCGTCCTCGGGGTCACACGCGGTGCACCGATTATCCATGTGCGCAAGAAAATTTGTTAATGGAGGTAACCAAACATGTATTGCCTGCAATGTGGGATGCATGGCTCGGTTAAGTAAGCCTGGCATTAAGGCATATCCTTCTTCCCCGCCGTCGCTTTGAAACATCACATGGGATCGTCCCGTATCATCCACCCATCTGAACTCAAACTGTACGCCGTACCACTGTCTGTCAAAACGGAGCAAGACATGGTGTGCGGGGTCTTGAAGCAAGTGTTCGGCACAGTGTTCGAACATCATACAAGATCTGCACACATGGTCGCACGCCCCCCCGCCATCCGCATTCAGTATCACTTTGTTGGGACATGCGGATGGCTGCATAAGTGCCGCTCCTGTCTGACAAGCCAGAATAATGAGGATGCACCGCCGTCCTCAAAGCGTCTTGAAACTGCCGTGCCAGAGATTTCGCAACCAAGCGGCGTAACGCACACGCAACTGCAATACCCCGCACTGAGTTGTCAGGTTGATTGATCGCCGTAAGGATCGAAACACGTAGAGCACCTGCGACATCCAAAGGAACGCGAGCCCGAGCCAAGTGCTCCGCCACGTCGCAAAGAGCTTCGAACCCAGCTTCACATTCTAAGCATAGTTTGAAATACTCGCATCTTCCTCCCCATAATCCTGAGCTCAACATTTTCCTGGCTGTACGTAACACGGTCCCAAAAATATGGCGGTCGAGCGCGAGCGGTTGCACAGGTTGGAACGCATCTGCTTCTCGTGGTAGGTATTCGGCTGAGAGCTCTACTCGGAGCCTCGGAGCCGCGGGTGTGTCAGTTCGTCGAGCTTGGCTTGAGTTCCTGGAGCAAGTGGGGGCGAGGTTAGTGTCCGTGCTGCGTGGTTCAATTCCCCCTGTTGTGCCAACGACATAGCTTGCTCGATACGCTTCGCATCCGCATTTCCAGTGGTCATTGCTTTCACCTTGCGCCTGCGGGCGTGCTGCTCTCGAGCTGACGCAAAGAGAGCTTCCCACGCTCCCTCGTCGGATAACGCAATCCGGCGTTTGAGTTCCCGGGCGCCTGCATCTCCTCCTCTGGTCGTGTGGTGAAGAAGGGGGCGGGGTAGGAAGATCAATAGTGCCCGTGCGGTTGCGCATTCAGCCACGGAAATGTGTCACATATTCCACATGTCAGTGGCAGCGTGGACTGTGCAGAAAGCTTGCGCCAGAATGCATAAGTAGGCATCCCGAATGCATTCCAGAATAGTTTTGACTGTAGGTGCAGTCTGGTCGATCTCCACCATCATGTCAATGTGCTGGATGTGTGCCTATCCATCTCGGGCGAAGCCTTCGAAATGCATGGACGACAGTGTCGCCAGAGCCGTCGAGCTTCGGAGCGCGTCAAGGAAACACCTAAGGCACGGGCGCTGAAGCAGCGCGGGTCCGCGGAGAGCGCCCCCGACCCCGTGCCCCAGCGTTGGTTTACACCGATCCTGGCCAGGCCAGTCCCAGGCCGATCAGGAGGGGTGTGCACCGATCCTGGGCCCAGGATGGGCCTGGCCAGGATCGGTGCAGGTGTATAGGCGGCACCCTCCGAGAGCTCTCGGTAGGCACTACCAAGTAAGACTGGCCAAGAAAGTGAGCCACGCATCGGGAATGGCAGCCTGAGATATCT